TCCCTCTTTCCTACCCACTCTCCCTTCCCTCTAGTTCCTAAATGTTTCCTCCCCGCTCCCACTATAATGATGCGAATTCTACCTTGCAAGTCTGGCTAGACCAGAGGATGTACACTGATACAGATAGGACCTGGGAGGGTAGAGGGAGAGCCACAATTTTCTAACCCCCAGTAGAGACCAATTGTTACATCTTGGCTACTTACTCACAAACTTTTAAGACACCAGTTGCTTGGATGTAACCTTGGTCTTTGTGGACGGTTTTATGTTCATTGACCCTTGAGGCTGTGGTCCTTAGCCTAGTAACTCAGTCTCTCAAGCACAGTGACCCAATTTCTCAAGTACTTCGTGATGGCTAAAAAGTTTTCCTAACTTTGTCCCATTTACTGCACTATACAAGTATTGTTGTTGTTAAATGCCATCAAGGGTCTCGGCCTTAGGAAGGTTGAGAACCACTACATTAAGATGAGAGCCAGGGAGGGATGTTTCTCTATTGGCCAGAGTGATTGAGTCTGATTTCCAAGAGGAAATTGGCTGGGAATGACCCATGGGAGTTATAATTACTACACTGCCTTGAAGGCAGTCGATTCAGTGGTGTCTGCACCCTGTTATTTCCATACCCCATAACAATTAGCATGCACATGGGTGTCAGAGCTCTAACGGATGTATCTACATTTCAGGTAGCAGCAGAGTGGGCATGCCAAAATAAACCATATGCCAGTCAACTCAGCCCTCTTTTTAAGGAGCACAACGGCATATGTTTACATTGCATTTGCCATGACATGATTGCACCACCGTCCCATTTTAAAGACAAAAGAGAAAAACATCAAACCCACTGTTATCAACTAAGAAAAGGCCATTTTCTCAGCTTGGTATATTGCTACATAAAATCAGCCCCTTCCAAAATTTCAGCATTTGGATAATACAAGAAAAAGAAGGACACTGATGTTGAGTCTACAATCAACAAATAGTAGTTTTATTCTCCTGAGGCAAACAATCATCCAATACTTCTTGGGTGTTACCATTGTGTCCATGCATTAGCTGAAGTGCATGAGCAAGAACTAGTCAGGGTTTAACTTGCCTGTGTTGCATGATCAGTGTGGCAGCAAATATATTGATAGTCACTTGTTTGTTGTGTGCGGGTGGCCATGATGAAGCTAGCTATTTGAAACCTCACTCAAGAACACTATCAACGAAAGCACATAAATAGCCTGCCTGCGGAAGTATTGGGAGTCTTTGGGTGGTGCCCGCTCTTGCTAGCCTCACAAGAGTAGGTGTCAAATGGATTGAATTGCACCCCCCCCTAAAATATGTGTTGTCAATCCTAACCCCCATACCTGTGGTCATAATCCCATTTGGGAATGCCTCTTCTTTAATTTTGTTCATGAAAAGGGATTGGTGTAGGGTGTGTCTTGAGTCAATCTCTTTGGGGAGAGAGAGAGAAGAGATCAAACAAGCAAGAGAGGAAGCAGCGGGAGAGAGAAGAGAGGAGGGAGAGAGAGAAGAGAGGAGGGGGGGGGATGACAAGCCACTTCAAAATCCCTCAAAGAGAAAAGGGTCTTCCTTGAAGACATGACAGAGAAAGCCTTCTCCAAGAGCCAGCACCCTGAATTTGAACTGGCTTCCTCAATGGTGAGACAATAAACAGCTGTTTGTTAATTCCTGGTGCTTGTGGTATTTCTGTCACAGCAGCGCTCGATAACTAAGACAGTAGGTATGTGGGAGCCAATAGCCGCAGCCACGCTGACATCCCGTATCATTGAGGGTCTGTCTTCCTCTCTTTCACTAAGCCTCTCTTTTACCAAGCATGGTGTCCTTCTCCAAGGATTTGTCTCTCCTGATAACACATCCAAAGACAAGTCACACCATCCTTGCTTCGGAGTTGCATTCTGATTGGACTTCCAAGACAGATGTGTCCGTTCTGCCAATGGTGTTCTTGGCATCTCAAAGTCTTGACTTGAGTCCAGATTGGCTTTGGATGCATGTTGAAAATGTTTAAATCATTTTATTGGGGGCTCATACAACTCTTATCA